GGGCGAGGGGGGATCTGCATGGGACGTGGTGGGTGAGGGGATGGGGGGGCCGCTTGCCCTGGGACATCGATCCCCGTTAAGCTAACGGAGCGACTGATTCAGGCCCCAATTAATAACGAATTGAAGGGGTGTTTCACGTAGTTCAGGCCCGTCCCGGTGTTTGCGCCACAGGGATCCCTTCACGCTAACAAGCTCTCTCTCTAACGAGCTGACTGGGCCGCCGTTCACGGGCCTCGGACTCCCGCCCACGTCCAAATCGGTCCCGCCCCGGTGAGCTCGAACGTTAACCCGGGCTTCAACCAAACGAAAGGGCTTCAAAACTGGCTAGCTGATAGATCTCCAGACGTACCTGGAGCCGGGCGCGCTCTGCAGCGGGTGGGGGGGTCGGTTCCTGGGGGGCGCGTCTTCCCCGTCTCTCTCCACGACCTGGAAGCAAAGGAATCGAGCTCAGTGGGGCAGGGAGCAGATGGGGCAGGCCCGGCCTCCGTCCCTCACCCGCTGTTTCTGCCCCCCACAGGTTCACATGGGGACCGGCGACCCCTACACCCCCGGCTTCCCTTCCTTCAACCACACCCAGTTCCCCCCAATCCAGTCCTCAGGGCTGCCCCGCATCCCAGCCCACCCCATCAGCGCTAGCACGGCCGCCCGCCTCCTCGGGTAAGTGGGGGAGCCAGGACGCCTGGGTTCTCTCCTCGGCTCTGGGAGGGGAGTGGGGGCTGGTGGGTCGGAGCGGGGGGGGGCTGGGAGCCCGGAATCCTGGGTTCTCTCCCCGGTTCTGGGAGGGGAGTGGGGGCTGGTGGGCTAGAGCGGGGGGGCTGGGAGCCAGGACTCCTGGGTTCTCTCCCCGGCTCTGGGAGAGTCTGACCCCCTCTCCCCTCCGCCAGTAAGCTGACAGGGCTGGCCGCCCCACGGGACTGGAAGGGCCGCCTGGCAGACATCCCGTATCACCTTGGGCCCGGGGACCCAGGCGTCCGGGTGCACCTCCAGGTGAACAACGTGAAGACTCCGACCATGATCAGTAACGTCTTCGGCTGCATCGAGGGGCGATTTGAACCGGGTGAGGCTGGGAGAGGGGACGGAGTGAGAGGGGGGTGTCTCTGTGGGGTGGGGTGGAGAGCAGGGGGGAGAATTGATGTGGGGGTGGGGACAGGAAGGGGGCTGGGCTGGGGGGTTGGGTGTGTGGGTTGTAGTGGGGTGGGCGCCTGGGAATGGGGGGCCACAGAGAGGTGGGGGGATGGGGTGGGGGCAGTGGGGCAGAGAGAGAGGTGGGGGGTGTGGGCCTGGGGGAGCTTTGTGGGGACTAGGAGGGGAGGCGTGTGGGATGGGCGGATGGGGCTGTCGAGGGGGGGGGGTCTCCTTTCCCCCTAACCTTGACTCCTCCCCCCCGCCCCACAGATCACTACGTGATCATCGGGGCTCAGCGGGACTCTCTGGGCCCGGGGGCGGCCAGCTCGGGCGTGGGCACGGCCCTGCTGCTCGAGTTAGCCCGGACCTTCTCCGCCATGGTGCGCAACGGTAAGGGGGCAGGGCTGCCACCAGGTGGGCAGGGGGCGGGGCTAGCTGAGGGGGGCGGGACTGCCACCAGCTGTGGCAGGGGGCGGGGCCGGTCCCTCCCTGGAACACCCCTCCCCTGTCATTCCCTCAGTGGCCACTGGGTGGGGACCTCGCTCCCGCCAAGAGCAGAGAGGGGAATATTCATCAGCCTGTCGAAAAAGATGGCCGCCTTAAAGGGGTGAGATCAAAGTTCCCCAGGGACCTCAGGACTCCTGGGTTCTCGGGACTGGAGGGGGGTGGGAGCTGCCCCCCCCCATCCCACATCCGTCCATTTCCCTTCCCAGGCTTCCAGCTCCGCCGCACCCTGCTCTTCGCTAGCTGGGACGCGGAAGACTTTGGCCAGGTCGGCTCCACTGAATGGCTAGAGGTAACCCGGACGCCTGGGTCCCCGCTGCGGGGCTGTGGGGGGGAGGGGGTTCTACCTACAGGGGCCCACCAGTCCCATCCCCTCCCGCAGCCAAGAGCTCTAGGAGGGGAATGAGGGGGGGTTAGAGCAGGGGGGGCTGGGAGCCAGGACTCCTGGGTTCTCTCCCCGTCTCTGGGAGGGGAGTGGGGGCTGGTGGGTTAGAGCAGGGGGGGCTGGGAGCCAGGACTCCTGGGTTCTCTCCCTGGCTGTCAGGAGGCTCTGGGCTCCCCCTGGTGGTAAGAGTGGGGAATAGCAGCTACAGTCACTGATGAGCTGGGGGGCTGCTTACTTTGGACCCCCCACAAATTACCCCCCTCCCCCCAAACCTCCCGTCCTGACCAGGGATATCTCAGCATGCTGCACCTCAAAGCCGTGGCCTACATCAGTCTGGACAACGCTGTGCTAGGTACGTGACTGGGAGCCCGCACTCCTGGGTTCTGTTCCCGGCTGTGGGAGGGGAGTGGGGGCTGGTGGGTTAGCGCAGGGGGGCTGGGAGCCCGGACACCTGGGTTCTCTCCCCGGCTCTGGGAGGGGAGTGGGGGCTGGTGGGTTAGCGCAGGGGGGGCTGGGAGCCCGGACACCTGGGTTCTCTTCCCGGCTCTGGGAGGGCAGTGGGGGCTGGTGGGTTAGCGCAGGGGGGGCTGGGAGCCTGGACACCTGGGTTCTCTCCCCGGCTCCGGGAGGGGAGTGCGGGCTGGTAGGGTTAGAGGAGGCACTGTCTGCCTCAGTTTCCCCCCTCTATTATAAACCTAACTCTATGAAGGTCCATGGGAGGGGGTCACTCTGAGCTTGGGGCTCAGCCCTCAGTGGATGGGGGAAGGGCATGTCAGCCCCCCCAAATTGGGGGGCAATCGAGGTTCCACCACTGGACCCCCGCCACCCCCACCCTGATGGGTTTCTCTCCCCTCCGCTGAACCTCAGGCGATGACAAATTCTACGCCAAGACCAGCCCCTTGCTGACCAGCCTCATTGAGAGCGTTCTCAAACAGGTGAGGGGCAGCCCCGGATGCCTGGGTTCGCTCCCCGGCTCTGGGAGGGGAGTGGGGGCTGGTGGTTGGAGCAGGGGGGGGCAGGGAGCCAGGACTCCTGGGTTCTCTCCCCGGCTCTGGGAGGGGAGGGGGGCTGGTGGGTTAGAGCAGGGGGGGCTGGGAGCCAGGACTCCTGGGTTCTCTCCCTGGCTCTGGGAGGGGAGCGGGGGCTGGTGGGTTAGAGCGGGGGGTGCTGGGAGCCAGGACTCCTGGGTTCTCTCCCCGGCTCCGGTAGCTGCCTCACCCTGGGGGTGGCTGCGGCTCTCTCCTCCCAGGGGCGCTGTGGGGGGCGAGCGCGGCGCTGAGCGGGGGACCCCCTTGCCTTGCAGAACCGGGGAGCAGAACCTGATCCCAGCGATGAACCGATCCATGTCCGTGCCAGACACAGGGTCCCTGTGGGACGCGCATACCTCAGCCTCACAGCCCGCAGGTAAGGGGGGGGGGGGGGGGCGGGGGCGGGGGGGGGGGGGGGGCGGCTCCGGGGGTGTTCAGAGGGGGGCACCGCGCCGGGCCTGACGCTCCGGTCTCTCCCGTAGGCGGTGAGGCCAGTCTATGGGATATACCAATTAATTCTTCAACTCAGGGTCCAATCTTAGAACAACTGCAACTGCAACAGAAAGTAAGTGCCTGGGTTCTCTCCCCGGCTCTGGGAGGGCAGTGGGGGGGCTGGTGGTTAGATCGGGGGGGCTGGGAGCCAGGACTCCTGGGTTCTCTCGCTGTCTCTGGGAGGGAAGTGGGGGCTGGTGGGTTAGAGCAGGGGGGGCTGGGAGCCAGGACTCCTGGGTTCTCTCCCCGGCACTGGGAGGGGAGTGGGGCTGGTGGGTTACAGCAGGGGGCCTGGCCGCTGTTCGGGAGAGGGGCTACGTGGGATCGCGGCACTGCCCAAGTCCCCGGCAGCTGGGTGGGTGGCGAGGGGGGGCTCTCTGGCAGCCTGGGGCCCTCCCCTCACCCGCCCTGCCTCCCACCCGGTGCCGCAGCTCCAGGAGCGCCGCGACGCGGAACTCAGGGCTAAGAGGGAGGAGGAGGAACGCAAGCGGCGCGAAGAGAAGCGGCGCCAGGAGGAGCAGAAGCGGCGCGAGGAGGAGGAGCTGTATCGGCGGAAACAGGTCAACGCCCCCCTGACCTCCACGGACCCCTTCTCCCGTGGACCCCTGGCCGGAGATCCAGAGACCCCCACCCCTGCCCTGCCCTGGGTTCTCTCCCCGGCGCTGGGAGGGGAGTGGGGGCTGGTGGGTTAGAGCAGGGTGTGCTGGGAGTCAGGACTCCTGGGTTCTCTCCCCGGCGCTGAGAGGGGAGTGGGGGCTGGTGGGTTAGATCAAGGGGGCTGGGAGTCAGGACTCCTGGGTTCTCTCCCTGGCGCTGGGAGGGGAGTGGGGGCTGGTGGGTTAGATCGGGGGGGCTTGGAGCCAGGACTCCTGGGTTCTTTCTCCTTTAATGCGCCTCTGGGCGTCAGTTTACCCCTGTGTTTTAGGGGCCCTGGTCTGCTCTCCAGAGGGATTGTGGGGCTCCCATGGAAGGTGGAGACCCTGGCTGTCTGAGGGGGGCCATTGCCCCGCCCCCAGCGCCCACAGATCCCCACTTTGTCGTCCTGGGGGAAGCCGAGGGTCGTGTGGGTGACGTCCCTGGGCTGGGGGGCTGGGCCGTCCGTCCCCCAGTAACGCCCCTGCCCCCCGCAGTGCCGGCAGCAGGAGCTGGTGCTGAAGCTGCTGCAGCAGAGCCAGGCGCAGAGCGCGGCGCCCTGGGGGGGGGCTGGCCAAGCCCCCCGGGGGCATGAAGGCCCTGCTGGAGCTGCAGGAGAGCGAGCGGCAGCTGCAGAAGCAGCAGCGGGCGCAGCAGAGAGCGGTGAGTGGCCCCGCCCCCAGTCACGTCCTGCCCCCAGGATCTCCCCTGGCCCGGCTCCCAACCTTCACCCATCACTATGATCTCCCGTGTCCTGCCCACAGCCAGGCCGGTCCCCTGCTCTGCCCCTCCCCCCCACCCTGGCCCCCAAACCCCCATCATCTGGGGAAGTACCCCTTTCTCCCCCCCCCCCGCCCCCCCCCCGGTCACAGTGCTCGCCCCACCCAGGAGTAGTGTCCCTGAGCCATCCCCTGTGGAACTAGCCGCCCTGCCCCAGAGGTGGCCGCATCTCAGCGCTTTCCCTTCCCAGCACGGGGGGCTCGGCATGAACAGCCCCTCGCAGTGGGGCGCCGACTCCAGCCCGCTGTGGAGCAGCCATGAGAAGTGGGACGAGGGCGTCAAGAACCTGAGGAGCCTGGGCCTGAAGAGCAGCCGCAGCAGCCCCTCCCTCGGGTGAGCCCACGGGGCGGGAGTGGGGGGCAGGGGCTGCGGGTCGGGAGTGAGGGGCACCGGCAGAGCTGGGGGAGGGGCAGGGCTGGGCTGGCAGGGGCTGCGGGTCGGGAGTGAGGGGCACCGGCAGAGCTGGGGTGGGGGCTGGGCTGGCAGGGGCTGTGGGTCGGGAGTGAGGGGCACCAGGCCGGGCCCGTGGCTCTCTTTGACTCTCCCTTCCCCGCCCCGGCACAGGGACAGCTACGGGGGGCCGAGCCGGCAGAGCCGGAAGAAGACGGACGAGGAGGAGAAGCTGCTCAAACTGCTGCAGGGGATCCACAAGCCCCAGGACGGCTTCACACAGTGGTGTGAGCAGATGCTGCACGTCCTGAACAGCTCCAGCAACCTCGACGGTACGCCTGCGCCCGGACGCCTGGCTTCCGTGCGTCCCTGGGGGGCAGGGGCTGGGAACCACAGGAGTCCTGGGCTCGGTCCCCGGCTCTTGTTTCCTTCCTCAGTTTCCCCGCTTCGTGCCTCGGTTTCCCCTCTTCGTGCCTGTTTTCTGCAGCTCTCAGGCCTTGTTGGTGGGTGGGTGCTTGAGGGGTCGGGGGGCGAAGGGGGCTGGCCCTCCTTGACCCCCCTCACCTCCCTGCAGTCCCCACGGTGGTGGCGTTCCTGAAGGAGATGGAGTCCCCCTACGACGTTCACGACTTCATCCGCTCCTACCTGGGCGACACAGTGGAAGCCAAAGAGTTTGCCAAGCAGTTCCTGGAGCGGCGCGCCAAGCAGAAAGCCAGCCAGCAGCGCCAGCAGCAGCAGGTAGGGGGCGCTCTCCCCTCACCGCCTGGGGGGGCGGGGCTTGCCAAGGGGCAGGGCTCCACACTAATCCCTCCCCCCTTCCCACCAGGAAGCCTCGTGGCTCAGCTCTGGCAACCTGCCCTCCCCGTTCCTGGCCAACCATGGCACCAAACAGCCACCCTTCGAGGGCAGCCAGCCAGTGAAGATCAAGAGGAGACCGGTCATGCTGCACGCTGACCCCAGCATCCTGGGTAGGGTGGGGCCCGGACGCCTGGGTTCTCTCTCTGGCGCCGGGAGGGTAACAGGGGCTGGGAGCCAGGACTCCTGCGTTGTGTCCCAGCGCTGGGTGGGGAGTGGGGGCTGGGGGGTTAGAGCGGGGGGGGGGCTGGGAACCAGGACTCCTGGGTTCTCTCCCCGTCTCTGGGAGGGGCGTGGGGGCTGGTGGGTCAGAGCGGGGGGGGGGGGGGGCTGTGTAGCCGATTAACCCCTCGTGCCCCGCTCTGCCCCCAGGCTATTCGCTGCACGGCCCGGCCGGCGAGGTGGAAAGCATTGACGACTACTGAAGTCTCGTAGCAATAGGAACTCTGCTGCCTTCTTAACCGATTCAGTCTTACCTGAATGTGCACTGCGAAAGGACGAGGCGGCCGTGCTGGGCCCTCCCCTTTCCTCCGCGCCCCCCCCCGGTGAGCGGGGGCCACCAGGGCTGGCGGGGGGGGCAGGGCGGCGCGCGCGCTCGGATCAGGGGACGCCGGCGACCCGCCTTCGGAAGAGGAGTATGTGTGAGCACTTCTTTCTCCAACACATGAAGCACCTTAAAATGCAACCCGCTGATGCACTTTATCAAGACTTTTTACAAAGAACTGATTAAAAAAAAAAAAAAAAAAAAGGATTTTTTTTGGTGATTCTGGAGGAAATTTTTATAAAGAAACTTTAAAAAAACAAAAAAATCGCTCTAGGTAACACTGTTATTTTCACACGGGGACGAGGAGAGACGTGAAAATTCGTGAAGGGGAAAAGAGAAGATTGCATAAAAAAACAAAAAAACACAAAAATAGCAAAACTTGAAGAAATGCACTTATCGCCCGGCCCGCTTTCCGCGAGCTGGCCTGGTTCTGCCTCGCGCGGCGGAGCCGGATGTAAATATCGCTAGATACAGAGCTCCGCACGGGAGATTTGCTCTCGCCAAGAGGCCATGTTTGTTTTTCTCTTTTTGGAAGAGAGACGTTGCGTGTTGGTTTTTTGTTGTTGTTGTTGTTTTTGAAAGTTGCACAACCGTGAAACAACCGACTTCCCCTTCCCTGGTGGTGCCCGGCTGCAACGGAGCTGGCCTGGGAGGAGTAACGCTAACCACGGCGGTTGACTCCAGTCGCCGGAGCCGGGCGCTCTTCCCGCCGGCTCCCACAAGCTCCGGCTACTCACCTGGCTCAGGGAGAGCTTCTAACCTGCAAAGCTCTCCTGGCTTCCTGCCAGTTCCTGTCCCCTGGCTGAGCTCTCCGTTACTGGCCGATCAGACGTCTTGGAGCTCCCTCGTTACAGGCTGATCAGATGTCTCGGGTGGCTTCCTGCAAGCTTCCAGGCCCTGCAAACTCCCTGCAACAAGCTCCGCCTCCCCGGCTGGATTTCTTCTACAAGCTCCGCCTGCCTGGCTGGATTTCCTCTGCAAGCTCTGCCTCCCCGGCTGGATTTTCCCCCACAAGCTCCGCCCCGTGAAGCCAGCCTCCTGTGAATTGTTACGCTGCCCAGCTGATAGGAAGATGATTTCTAGTGCACATGTTTTTTTTTGGGGGGGGGGGGGGGGGGTTGAGAGGCCCCTTTTTTATTTTAAGCTCTCTGGGCATCTCGTTCATTTTGCCTTTCCCCCGCCCCGTTAGACGTGCGCCCCCATCCCAATGGCCCTTGTGGGGGGCGGTTGGTTTTTGTTTTTGGATGGAGGAGCATTTTTGTGCGTGCGGCGGGTGGGAGGGCTTGACCCCGCCCCGCACCCATTTATGAATGTATCTTTGGACAAGAATTGGAAAGACGAAATCCGCCGGCCCCTCCCGGCACCCCGGATCGGGCTGCGGCTGAGACCCACGTCAATAAAGCTCCGCTCGCGCGCGCTCTCTCTCTCTCGAGAGAGATTTTTGAAAAACCGAGAACCAGTTGAATTGTCTGTGACCGATCCCCACCCGCAGAGGTGAGAGATTTCACTCTCTGATACAGCTGTACAGATTTTGGAGGGGAGGGAGAAGTCGTTCATTTGTTCGTTTTCGTTTTTTAAAAATTTGGGCTTGAATATTTTTTTTTTTTTAATTGCGCGTATGGATCTGTTGTTTCTTTGTTTACAGACCGTCTCTGGGGCGTTGTGTCTCACGGGACGGTAGCCACTACACAGGGTACCTTTCCGAGTCGAAATCTTCCCGAGGAGGAGACGTTTTTATTTTATTTCCTCCCCCCCCGGCAAGTTATCCCGTTGGAAATCAGTGGGCGGGAGGGGAGAAAGTTCTCCCGGCCTTCGCGCGAGACGACACGAAGCTTTTCCCCGGTTGTGGCAAGCCAGGAACTGCGCTGTGAACGCCGCGTGGAAGGCGTCATGCCGAATAGCCGAACTACAGTTTCTTGAGTGTGTTCTTCCTTTCCCCCTGATTGTTGTATTTTTTTTTTCAAACCAGTGCAGCTTTGGGGGTTAACCCCCCCCCACCCGTTGGGTTTCCGTTTGTTTTTTAAATGTTCGTGGTTTATGAATTTTTCAATCGACCAAATGGCAAAGACTTTTGTTTTTAAGATGTATGTCGAAGGTTGGGGTTGTTTTTTGGGGTCAGGGACCTCTTTGGTTTTGGTAGGCCCTACAACACATACTGTGAGGTTCCATGGTTACTGTGTTAGCGGGGAGAGGGGGGTCTCCCCTCCCTTCGCCCGGTCAATGGATCAAAGGACACAGGATTTGGATGTGACCTGATCTGGTTTTTCACCCCACTCCCCCATCAGTCAGTATTGGCCTGTAGTGGCCTCCGCGCGGTCAGCGTGCAATAGGCTGCCGAAGGATTTACCCCCCCCCCCCCCCCCCGTTTGCTGTGTCATGGAAACCCCACCCACGGGCGAGGGTCCGGCGTCTTGGGCCAGCGAGGTTCCCGGGGGAACCAATGAGCTGACGGCTTCCCGGATCCCCCGCCCCCTTGGGATTCTTGGCGCAGCGGGGGACAATCCGGCGCCCTGGGATCTGCAGCAGCTGGCTCACCTCAATCCCGGGCTGCCCCCCTGGACCGGGCTCAGGTGGGGGGCGACCAGGAGCCACCGTTCGTGTTTGAATTTGCCACAAGAATGTATTCGGTGATTCGTCGCGCTCAGACCTTTCCAGCTAAGGGCTGTCTCCCCGGTTCGCTTCTCTCCCCCGCCCCCCCGCTATCAACTGGGGCGGGGGGGGGGGCGTTTACACCCAGCCCCCCCCGGAGCGATCGGACTCTACAGGGGGCCGGGCCGAACCAAAGTCTCCTCTGGCCCACGGTGGAGCCCAGCCACCGGATGGACGTTTATTATCCACCGCGGGGGCGTTTCCTGCAAAATTTGCCTTATCTTCGTATTGGTTGTTTTCCCCCCTCCCATGCCCTTCCGAAGAAAAGGGAAACAGACCCTGCGGCCGGGGCAGTATTAGTCCGGTGGCCGGCTAGCCGCCGGGCCGGACGTGGGGTTTCTATCTAGCAATAACGAACTGGACTCGGAGGCTTTCCACCCGCCACGGGGGCGGCCCCAGCCCGTGCCAACGCGTGTCCCGCGCCGGACATGGGCGCTTTCTCATGCCGCCCGGCGGGGTCAAGCCAGGGCGAGGATCCCCCCCCCCCATTTTTTGTGTGTACGCGTCTCTCGCCCTCGTGGAATTAAAGTTTGTAGATATTTCCTGCCCCCGCCGCAGCGAGAGCCGGTCTCTTTGTCCTGCCGTCTCTCCGCCGGTTTCCGGGGGGGGGGGGGTGTTTAAACCCCCCACAAACAAGGCAGGTGCCCAGTGGGTGGAGTGAGGGGGACCCACCACCCTAAGCATGGGGCTGCCTGGCCCTCCCCAGTGGTGGCATGAACATCTCTGTGGAATCTGTTTACACCGCACCAACCGTGCCGGTATTCCCCCCCACAGCAGGAAAGGGGGGGGGGGCCTGTCTCAGTTTCCCCAGGTGCTAAAGCGGGCTGCCACAACATCTGCCTCCTTTGTGAAGTAGTAGTAGGAGGTTGGGGGGCTTTCCCCAGCCCCTGGCTGCCTCCCTTCCCCACCCCCATGCTGGGAGTTTCTGCTGGTCTCTGGTGGGTGGGGGTACTGCAATATAACCCCCCTCACCCCCCTGGCACCAAGGACTTAGGGGGCACAGAGCAGCCACCCCACCCCACCCGCCGATCCCTGAATGTGCTTTGGCCGCAGGGGAGCAGCTGGACTTACCTGGGTGTGTGTGTGGTTGGGGGAAGGCTGAAGTCAGGACGCCTGGGTTCGTTCCCTACCCCCCCACTAGCCGTACACCTGGGGTCTCACCCCCTGAGCTGGCCAAGGACACCAGGCACTGGCGACCCGGACTCCTGGGTTCTTTCCCCAGTGCCAAGAGGCTGGGCTGTGGGGGAGGTGACCCCCCCCCATAAATCCAGATGCTTGTGGATCTCTGGTGTGTGTGTGGGGGGGGGGGGGGGGGGGGGGGGCGGGGCTGGGCTGCTGCCCTCGTTTCCCCCCCCCCCCAGTGGGGGCACCCCGGGTCTGGAAGCGGCTCCTCCATGTGGTGCTGCGGCTCGGCTCGCCCCCCAGGGGCAGAGGCCAGTTACTGCAGCCAACTGGACATGGAGTGTCCAGTCTGCTGTACTGACTGGACTCCTGGCAACCCCACCCCATAATAAAATAATTTCCCAGGGGGGAGGGGCAGGGACCTCCCATGGGGGGGGGGCTCCCCTTAAACAGTTACAAAGAGGGAGGGGTGTTGTGAGTTACATCACCCACCCCTTTCAGGGAGGGGGCACCCGGTGACTAGGGGCCTTTAACCCCATAGTTGTTCTCCCCCCAAGACAGGGAGAGGACCCAGGAGTCCTGACTCCCAGCACCCCCACTCGCTTCCCAGAGCAGGGGAGAGAACCCAGGAGTCCTGACTCCCAGCCCCTTCTGCTCTAACCACCCCCCCCCCCCCCCCCCCCTAACAACAGGGAGGCAGGTTGTTGGTTTTGGTCGTTTATGGTTTGACGCAGTGCCGGGAGCCAGTTACAAACACCCCAGCGAAGAAACAGCCCCCCCCCACCACCCCCTGGCGAGCAGGACGACCCCCGACGGGGTGGGAGACAAGCCCCTGGGGGGGGGCGGGGAGGGAGGGGGCAGGCCAGGAGCCCCCCCATGTCTGGCTTTGCACCTCCTTTGCCTCAGAGTCAGGGGCCCATCTACCCTGGTATCCCACCTCCCCTCAGGGGCCCCCCAACTAACCTGATCTCCCCCCAGCCCCACTCAGGCATGTGGGAGGGGTAACGGGAGCCTGGGAAGCACCCCCCCTCCTGGAGGAGGAGCCACACAGTGGGTGGGGCCAATTAGCCACTCCTCCCCAAGAGAGCCTTGGGGAGGGAGTACTGGGGGCAGGAAAATTGGGGTGTAACCCTCCCTCCCCTGTACTAGAGTAGACAGGACCCTGCCCCAGCTGTCAATCACCTCATGCCCCACCCCAGGTCAAAGGTCACTGCTGGGCACAGGCCCCCCACCCCCCTCAGCAGGCTATTTTTCCTTCTTTTCAATCAGGAGAAGAAAAACAAAAATAATTTGAAGAAATTAAATGGGGGGGGGCCAAAGAGGGGCTAAAGCCACGCCCCCTCCCTGCTGTGGGTGGGGCCAGCAGCAGCCACGTCCTCCAGGGTGTGGGGCAGAAGGGGGCTAGTTCCAGATTTTCAGGAAGCTGTCCCAGGAGCCGGTGGCTACGGCCATCCCGTCGTCCGTCACCCCCAGGCAGCTCACGCGGTTGTCATGGCCGGCCAGGACCCCTGCGGGAGGAGACGGGGGTGAGTTCAGCCTGAGAGAACCCAGGCATCCTGGCTCCCAGCCCCCCCCGGTCTAACCCACCAGCCCCCACTCCCCGAGCCGGGGAGAGAACCCAGGAGTCCTGGCTCCCAGCCCCCCCGGTCTAACCCACCAGCCCCCACTCCCCTCCCCGAGCCGGGGAGAGAACCCAGGCGTCCGGGCTGACCTGCGCGGTCGCCCTTCATGGCGTCCCAGATGTTGCAGTTGAAGTCGTCGTAGCCGGCCAGCAGGAGGCGCCCGCTCTTGGAGAACGCCACCGAGGTGATGCCGCAGATGATGTTGTCGTGCGAATACATCATGAGCTCCTGGTCGGCGCGTAGGTCGAAGAGCCGGCACGTGGCGTCGTCCGAGCCCGTGGTGAAGGCGTTCCCGTTGGGGAAGAACTGGGCAGGGAGGAGGGCGTCAGGGAACCCAGGCGTCCGGGCTCTCGGCCCCTCCCTGCTCTAACCCACCAGCCCCACTCCCCTCCCAGAGCCAGGGAGAGAACCCAGGAGTCCTGGCCCCTAGCCCCTCCCCCGAGATTGGTGGGATTTCTAAGTTGTGGGTCAGGTTGCTGTGGGGGGGGTTGGCTGTGCCCCATGAGGGGCACTGAGGGTGGGTTATGTGAAGCTCGGGGCATACGGGGAGGTTGGGGGGGGGCAGGGGTCACACACACACACACACACACACACACACAAACTTACTTCTTCCCAGGGAAAGTCAAGGGGATATTGGGGGTCCGGGGGGGGCATTGATGTCCAACTCATGCCTGGTTAAGGTCTGTGTGTGGGTGAGGGGGTTTTGTGAGGGGGATTGGGGGTCCCAGGGGTCCGGGCACACACATACACGGTGTTGATGTCTGACTCGTGCCCAGTGAACATCTGTGTTTGTGAGGGGGGTTGGGGGTCCAGGGGGATTTCGGGAGGTCCCAGGGGCATCCCGCAACACACACACACACACGGCATTGATGTCTGACTCGTGCCCGGTGAACGTCTGTGTGTGGGTGAGGGAGACTGGGGGGTCCCGGGGCACTCACACACACGGCGTTGATGTCCGACTCGTGCCCGGTGAACGTCTGCCGGCACATACTGTCCCGCACGTCCCACAGCTTGATGGAGGCGTCGCAGGCGCCGGACACGAAGCTCCGGGCGTCGGGGGCCAGAGAGAGGCTCATCACGTCCCCGCTGTGGCCCCCGAATGTTGTCGTCTGCTGCCCCGTCTCAATGTCCCACAGCGCGCTGGGGGGGGAGAGGCTGGGACACCCACTGGCTCTGCCCCCGGCCCCGCCCACCAACCCCACCCCTGTCCGCTGGCTCCATCCTTCAGCCCACCCTGCCCACTGGCTCTGCCCCTGCCCACCAATTCCACCCCCCAGGCCCACACCCGCCCTCCGGCTCCACCCCCAGCCGCCCCACCTGATGGCTCCACCACCAGCACTGCCCTCTGGCTCCACCCCCCTGTCCCACCCCTGCTCGCTCCCCCCTGGGCCCCACCTGCTGGGCCCCCCCCACCTCTGCCCCTTTCCCGCCCACTGGCTCTGCCCTGTAGCCCCTGCTCCTGGCTCCGCCCCCAGCCACACCCCTGCTCTGCCCACCTCCACCCCGCTGGCCCTGCACACTAGCCCTGCCCCCACCCCAAGGGCCCTCCCTGCTAGTCCCACCCACCAGCCCACAACCCTGCTGGCCTCCCATACTGGCCCCACCCTTCCCTGCCCCCCATGTGTTTCTGGGGAGCAGATCCCAGAGCGCAGGGCCCCTAGGTGTGGGGGGGGGGCTCACCAGGTGGTGTCCCCGGAGCTGGTGATGATCTGATTGTCATCGAGGAAGCGGCAGCAGGACAGGTAACCTGGTCGGGGGGACAGGGGGACGGCACGATGCTGATTAGCTGGGGTCTGGGGAGAAAACCCAGGTGTCCAGGCTACGCCCCCCCCCGCTGCACCCACCAGCCCCCTGTCCCGAGGCGGGCGCTCACCCGTGTGGCCCGGCAGCTCCCGGCTCACGCGCACGTTCCCCTCCCGGGTTTTCAGGCTGTAGATGGAGCAGATGTTGTCCAGGCCCCCGCAGGCCACGTAGTTCCCCGATGGGGCGTAGGCGCAGGTCATCACCCAGGAGGAGCGCAGCGGGATGGCATGGACCTGGGGGGAGGGAAAGGTGGGCCCATCTGCCCCCGTATCCCATCTGCCCCGGTATCCAGGCTGCCGCCTCCCTCCCCGGGCCCATCTACCCCGGTATCCAGGCTGCCGCCTCCCTCCCCGGGCCCATCTACCCTGGTATCCAGCCTCCCGCCTCCCCCCGGACCCATCTACCCCGGTATCCAGCCTCCCGCCAGGTCCATCTACCCCGGTATCCCGCCTCCCCTCAGGCCCATCTACCCCGGTATCCCGCCTCCCTCCCCGGGCCCATCTACCCCGGTATCCAGCCTGCCGCCTCCCTCCCCGGACCCATCTACCCCGGTATCCCGCCTCCCGCCAGGTCCATCTACCCCGGTATCCCGCCTCCCCTCAGGCCCATCTACCCCGGTATCCCGCCTCCCTCCCCGGGCCCATCTACCCCGGTATCCAGCCTGCCGCCTCCCTCCCCGGGCCCATCTACCCCGGTATCCAGCCTGCCGCCTCCCTCCC